ATACATACATACATACATACATACATACATACATACATACATACATAAATGGATGAAGACATTAGCCGGACTGTGGAAAATCAAGCTATAGAAACATATATGCAAACATTATATTTGCGATATGCAGCGATACGGCAACAGGTGCCAAGTGCATGAATCAACCCAGTTTGTAATGGATGGCGCAGTCAGAGGTTCGGCACGGCTTGTTGCTGCTGCACCTTGCGTTTCATCCTGTATTTCAACAAAAAATATGCAATTTCAATGATTTTGACGATTAAAATGTTTGCAATTAGTCATACATAAAGATCAGAGGACAAAATTTAATATTCACTGTATGTTATCTTTTTTTTCTTGTGACGATGACAACAGGTGAGGCTTTTTTTTGCATAGATGTCTATGGCTGTATCCATAGACATATATACAAGACTGTCTCAGAAAATTAGAATATTGTGATAAAGTTCTTTATTTTCTGTAATGCAATAAAAAAAATGAAATGTCATACATTCGGGATTCATTACAAATTAACTGAAATATTGCAAGCCTTTTATTGTTTTAATATCGCTGATTATGGCTTACAGCTTAAGAAACCCAAATATCCTATCTCAAAATATTAGAATATCGTGAAAAAGTATACTAGTAGGCTATTCAACTAATCACTTGAATCGTCTAATTAACTCGAAACACCTGCAAGGGTTTCCTGAGCCTTGAAACACTCAGCTTGGTTCAGTAAACTAAATCACAAGTATGGGGAAGACTGCTGATCTGACTGCTGTCCAGAAGACCATCATTGACACCCTCCATCAGGAGGGTAAGACACAAAAATAAATTTCTCAAAGAGCAGGCTGTTCACAGAGTGCAGTTTCAAAGCACGTTCACAAAAAGTGTGTTGGAAGGGGGAAATGTGGCAGGAAACGCTGCACAACCAAGAGAGGTGACCGCAGCCTAAACAGCATTGTGAAGAAGAGCCGCTTACAGAATTTCGGGGAGCTTCAAAGACAGTGGACTGAAGCTGGAGTCCAGGTATCAAAAGCCACTGTTGACAGACGTGTCCGGGAAATGGGCTACAATTGCCATATTCCCATGGTCAAGCCACTTCTGAACTCAAGACAACGGAAGAAGCATCTGACTTGGGCTATGGAAAAGAAGCACTGGACAGTTGCAGAGTGGTCCAAAGTCCTCTTTTCAGACGAAAGCAAGTTTTGTATGTCATTTGGTAGTCAAGGCGCCAGAGTCTGGAGAAAGGCTGGAGAGGCGCAAAATCCAAGTTGCTTGAAATCCATTGTGAAGTTCCCACAGTCAGCGATGGTTTGGGGAGCCATGTCAGCTGATGGTGTTGGTCCACTGTGTTTCATCAAGTCCAGAGTAAATGCAGCTGTGTACCAAGAGATTTTAGAGCACTAGATGCTTCCATCTGCTGAATAGCTCTATGGAGATGATGATTTCATTTTCCAGCATGATCTGGCACCTGCCCACAGTGCCAAAACCACCAGTAACTGGTGTACTGACCATGGCATTACTGTCCTTGATTGGCCTGCCAATTCCCCTGACCTGAACCCCATAGAGAATTTGTGGGGTATTGTGAAGAAGAAGCTGAAAGACACCAGACCCAACAATGCAAATGAGCTAAAGGCCGCTATTGAAGCATCCTGGGCGTCCATAACACCTCAGCAATGCCACAGGCTGATTGCCTCCATGCCATGCCGCATTGATGCAGTAATCTGTGCAAAAGGATTCCCAACCAAGTACTGAGTGCATTAATGGACATTTTCAAATGTTTGATTTTGTTTTGCTGTTATAATTATTATTTTTTTTAACTTATGTCTTTTCAAGCTGATACAATTATTTTACTTACCGCTGATCTTACTTAACTCAGGTATGGGGTACTATTGTTACATTAACTTAAGTTCAAACATAACTTCAAAATAAACTGTACACATTTTGCATCTCGTCACACATCACATTACTGTCTCTTTTTTTTTTTCTTTGAGAATAATACTGCAACATTCCAACTCAAATAACACATAAGAACCCAACTGAGAGGCAGGGTAGACTACCTGGTCCTCTCTGAGGTTTATTCTGCTCCCTGTATACACACAACACTATTCTACAAGTTCAGTCTTTTGATGGGCTTGACCGCTCTGCCCACTCTGGTGCGTATCCCTGGATCTGGAGTCGTCAATGGTGAAGGCCCAACTCTCAAATGAGAGTGGTTTCTTCTGAGACTGCCATTTGAAGTGTCCATGATGTATGACCTCGGTGTCCCTGCTGATCCGGAAACTTCTCCAGTGCGTGTTTCGTTCTTTATCCAGACTCTCTGGCCTGGCTGGAGCGGTGTCTTCCCCTTTCCCCTGTGTCGGGTGTTGTATCCCTCTGCCTGTTTTCTTTCAAGCTCCTTGTCTTTTACCTCGAAAGCTCTCAAGTCTGGCCAAGCTCGTGTGGGGGGCGAGCTTGGACACACTGGGAGAGGTGTCTCAATGTTGCGCCCCATTAGGAGCTGCGCAGGAGATGCCCCAAGAGCGAGAGGGGTCGCTGTGTATGCCAGTAGTGCTTTGTGAGGGTCCTTGCAACAGGGCTTTCACAGTTCTAACAGCACATTCTGCTTCCCCATTGCTTTGGGGGTAACGGGGGCTACTTGTCAGATGCTGGAAGTTGTAATCTGTAGCGAACTCTGCAAACTGTTGGCCGTTGTCGGTGAAGAGTGTGTCGGGCACTCCATGACGGCTGAATATAGCTTTCAATGACCTCACACGTTGGAAATAACTACCCATTTCACTCATGGGGAGAATTGCCACTATAAAAATCATGGTACTTCCCAAAATTAATTATTTCTTTTCAATGATTCCCACCAAACCGCATGTTTTAAGTCACTAGAGTCATGCATCTCCAATTTGTTGTGGAAAGACAAACCCCCACGTATCAGTTTAAAAACTCTTCAAAGGACCAAAGACAGGGGTGGATTAGATCTACCGAATTTTTCTTTCTACTTCTTAGCTAACAGGCTACAGTATATATCAAAATGGCTTAAACCCAGTCCCCTAGATGTCGAACAAGGTCTATGCGGAAACCTGAAAAACTCTGATCTGCCATTTATTAGTCCAAACATAAAACATCACAAATGCCTCAAAAGTGTTAATATAAGCACTTCTCTGACAGCCTGGTGGGAATTTCTCAAAATGATAAAGTCCTCAATTTTCCCATGTAGACTTACACCCATCTGGAACAACCCTGACATCCTTCAAAATAAAAAAATGCTTAACTTCATTCAATGGAAGAACAATGGAATAAAACATTTAGATAATATCATTCAAGATGGAATCTTCATCCCATTTGAAGAGTTAATATCTCAATATGGGCTTAGTAGCAGTTCATTTTTAGAATACCATCAACTTAAATCCGTAATAACTAAGAGATATTTTGTCCGCCAGCTGGACTTGCAACTCCCAACTGGGATAGCAGAATACCTAAATATCTGCACCCCAAAATTGATATCCAAAATGTATAAATTACTGTCAAAGACAGATGACACAATCTCTCTGCCATCGTTAAAGTGGAAAGCAGACCTATCATTCACTACTGACAGTCATTTTCGGCCACAAATATGTTCAAACATCTTCAGTATGACTACAAATACCAATTTGCAGCTTATACAATACAAAATTATTCATAGAACGCACTATACAGGATAAAGGATGTTCCGGATGGGTCTTGCACCTTCTAATATCTGCACACACTGCTCGGAAAACACACCGGACGATCATGCACATGCTTTGTGGTTCTGTGCACCTGTTCATAAGTTCTGGCTGGAGGTCTGTAAGACTGTAAGACCTCCAGCGTGGTGCACGGCCTTTCATCTGCGGCTACGTGGAGTCTGGGCGCCGGGGGGTCCGGGACCAGACTGTTGCGACTGAGTTGGCTTGGGTGTGTGTGTGTGAGGCCCCCCAACCCCCACTTTATTCAATTAGTTATTTAGTTATTTTGTTATTTTGTCATTGATTTTGTTGTTACCCCCTTAACCTATTTATTATTTGTATTGTTTATTTATTTATTTATCATTATCATTATTATTGCTATTATTACTATTATTATTATCGTTATTATACGTATGTATGTATGTATATATATATATATATATTATTATTATTTTTATTTTATTTTTCTCTCTCCCCTCCCCCTTTTTATTTTTTACTTTTTTCTCCCTCTTCGGGTGTGGTGGTGGCGTGCCCTCTGGTCGGGGGGGTGGTCCCTTACGGTTGCCAGGCCCGGACCTGGGGGGGGGCTTCGGGAGCAGGGGCGCCCAATGCAGCCGAGCGCGGCTGCCCTCTCCGGGGGGACGGTGTTCCTCCCGGTTTGCACCCCCTTACCCCTCTCCCCACAGGCTCCAGCACACAGAACGCACTCACCACATAGGGATTCGGGACCATGGGGGTGTCTGCCGGGTGCGGTTAAGGGTGCCTCCTAGGAAATTCTCTTTTTCCCGCCCTGCAGGACCCCCCTCCTCGTGTTTTAATGGCACCCCTAGACATTACATCTGACCATACCCACACTAACACATAGGCCCAAGGGGCTGGGTGTGTTGAGCGGGGTCGGGGAGTGAGGCTCTTCGGGCAGTGGGGACTGCTCGAGGGGCCTTGCTCTGGGGCCCTGCGGGCCCGCCCAGCCCTCTGTTTTAAACACTTGTTAGACACGGAGGACCCCGAGTTGTCCTCAACCCACTCATACTATGGGGCCTGGGCGGCGAGGGGGGGGGTCTTCCTGTGCGCCCGCTGCCCGGAGTTGCACAGTGCCGGGGGCGCCTGGGGGGTCCCATCTGGTCGGGGCGGCCGGGGGCCGCTGGCCCCGGGGCGGTCCGCCCCGCCACACCTGCGGGGCAAACTATTTCTTTATTTCCTTATTTAGTTACTCATTAGTTACCCCCCTTTTTTTCCATTTTCACTAATTCATTTTTTCCCTTTTTTTCCCCCTTTATTTATTTACTTATTTTATTATGATTATTATTATTATTACTGTATATATATATATATATATATATATATATACAGGGGTTGGACAATGAAACTGAAACACCTGGTTTTGGACCACAATACTTTCTTAGTATGGTGTAGGGCCTCCTTTTGCGGCCAATACAGCATCAATTGGTCTTGGGAATGACATATACAAGTCCTGCACAGTGGTCAGAGGGGTTTTAAGCCATTCTTCTTGCAGGACAGTGGCCAGGTCACGACGTGATGCTGGTGGAGGAAAATGTTTCCTGACTCGCTCCTCCAAAACACCCCAAAGTGGCTCAATAATATTGAGATCTGGTGACTCTGCAGGCCATGGGAGATGTTCAACTTCACTTTCATGCTCATCAAACCAATCTTTCACCAGTCTTGCTGTGTGTATTTGTGCATTGTCATCCTGATACACGGCACTTCCTTCAGGATACAGTGTTTGAATCATTGGATGCACATGGTCCTCCAGAATGGTTCGCTAGTCCTTGGCAGTGACGCGCCCATCTAGCACAAGTATGGGGCCAAGGGAATGCCATGAGATGGCAGCCCAAACCATCACTTATCCACCCCCATGCTTCACTCTGGGCATGCAACAGTCTGGGTGGTGCGTTTCTTTGGGGCTTCTCCACACCGTAACTCTCCCGGATGTGGGGAAGACAGTAAAGGCGGACTCATCAGAGAACAATACATGTTTCACACTGTCCACATCCCAAGATTTGCGCTCCTTGCACCATTGAAACTGACGTTTGGCATTGGCACGAGTGACCAAAGGTTTGGCTATAGCAGCGAGGCCGTGTATATTGACCCTGTGGAGCTCCAGACGGACAGTTTTGGTGGAAACAGGAGAGTTGAGGTGCACATTTAAGTCTGCCGTGATTTGGGCAGCCGTGGTTTTATGTTTTTTGGATACAATCTGAGTTAGCACCCGAACATCCCTTTCAGACAGCTTCCTCTTGCGTCCACCGTTAATCCTGTTGGATGTGATTCGTCCTTCTTGGTGGTATGCTGACATTACCCTGGATACCGTGGCTCTTGATACATCACAAAGACTTGCTGTCTTGGTCACAGATGCGCCAGCAAAACGTGCACCAACAATTTGTCCTCTTTTGAACTCTGGTATGTCAGCCATAATGTTGTGTGCATTACAAAATTTTGAGCAAAACTGTGTTCTTACCCTGTTAATTGGACCTTCACAGTCTGTTATTATTGGTTCAATGTGCAATTAATGAAGATTGGCCACCAGGCTGGTCAAATTTAGCCATGAAACCTCCCACACTAAAATGAGAGGTGTTTCAGTTTCATTGTCCAACCCCTGTATATATGTATGTATGTATGTATGTATGTATGTATGTATGTATGTATGTAT